ATAGTTGCTTCATTTGCTGACAACCTTAGTACTGAATCTTATCTCTAGCCGGCCTTGCTAGTAAAACCACCAATTATTGATACCCACTGGCAAAGAAACTGAACTTGGTATCTGATCATTTGCCTAATTCTATTGGTCTCCTGGAAGGTCGCAGTCTCCTGTGGAAGAGCCAGAAGTCATGGTTCAAATCAGAGTATTAATGGGATTGTTTGCACACCAGGCCCTGATCTCCTAGGCACCAGTTACTTAGAGCTAATTCCAAAATCACACACTCCTACCATAAAGCTTTTATATAGATCATTCCTCATCCGCTCCCAATAATTCCGTCACTTGTACAAACCCATCGGTGGTTATATCTTTATTTCTATAGTAGGGTTCCTGGTAGTGTTCCCAATCTCTTGTTCCATTTGTGTTTTCCTTTTCTTCACAAGAAAATCTTTCAACACTGAAAAAAACAATGCCTACTCAACCAATGAGTACAGAACTTGGAACATTTCTTAGGACTAAGATTATTATATACGTAATCTCTCTGATTAATGTAAACTGTTCCATAAATTCTACTATGATTTAGAAATGAAAATATGATGAACCTCATAGCTTAAATATATTTTCATAAGGTCTCTGTTTTTTTTTAATGAGGTCTTTCACTGTAACAAGTAAGCATCAATGTCTTTTCCCTTTCAGTTCATTTTTAAATTACTGAGTCATTTTATAAAGATTTTTAAAAATATTTATCTATGAAAGAACAACCCAAGAGAATTTTTGGTGAAAGAACTGGGAGGGTGGGCAGAAATGGCATTTCAATGTTTCCCAAGACAGTTATAAAGATTCAGCTGTAATTTACATGACGGATGTTCAATTGCTCACAATTTCCTAAACAACTACAAAATGGTAGCAAATTGTAACAGATATTTTGTGACAACTGATACCTATTAAAATTGTGTATGGAGTCCAAGGTGATCTACCTTCTTCAAAAGTCATGATAATGAGGCTCAACACCTCATAATTCAGAGGAAGCTCTGAGTACCCATCACATCTTTGGAGAGACTGGAACCCAGTATTGGCTCCACGTTATCAAGATGCCTAGCTGATTCTTAGTCCTCATTCCCAACTCTACTTTCAGGCATGGTTTGAGCCATTAAACAAAGCACTTAATTTTATCTTCCACATGAAAACTTTAATTCAAGCAACAAACATATTAAGAAGCTATTTCCTACAAAAAAAACCTAAAACAATAATTCTCAACAGATCAAGAAAAAAGCAGATGACAAAGAACAGTCTAATCTAGGAAAAAAAGCAAAAACAGTGCTTTTCAAATGTTTCTAATAGGAAAATTAATTTCATATTCCTCTAACCATCTACTGGAATTAAACTTTTAAATAATCCTCTAGCAGAAGTCCATTTTCTGCATCCATCTGCAGCTAAGAATGAGAAGTAAAATACAGATATTACTTGGAGTAACTGAGAAATGTTTAAAATGAAAATCATAGCATGTAGCAAAATCAAGAAAAAGCATAAATATACCAATGTAGTTAATGTTTCTTACCCTAAACATTTTTTTTTTTTGTCAAATGTAACACATTGTTGAACACTGTGGCAAGTGCACTTTCTTATGAACTGATGCTATTGTCACAGAGGGAAATTTCTCCAAAATGAAAAAGCACCAACGTAAATTCATTAAAATAATTGATATTCATGGTTTGGAAAGTTGCTCATGTCAAGATTTTACAACAGAGTAAAAATTTAAGCTTCTGAATGAAAACCATTTACATTAGTTAAGGCACATCTGGACACCTCCAGGCAATCGTATTTATAACTATATTATTATTAACTTCAGTAATAAGGTATTTCTAAAAACACAGTCTGTCCCTGAACACAATCTGCTGGGTGGGCTGGATAACTAGAACAGGGAAGGAGGCAGGGTAGTACTCACTGTCACCCTAGAGATTACCCACACCGATCTGTTCATGTAATAAACACTCCAGAATTCGAAGTTGAAAGAAGTCAATATATGTAACTCTTAATTTTCAAGATCCTACATTGGCCCTCTTGTCATTCTCTATACCTACACCTGCATTGAAATGATTCTAGCACGCCTAACTCCAACCTACCTTGTATATAACACATATACCCCAAAAGACAAAGGAGAATTCTCTAAGTGAGAAACAAATTAGAAATCTTCAAAACCATCCTAAAACAAAGAATCTCCACTCAGCCCAAATAGACACAAAAGACCCATAGACGAAGATACATTCAAGTAAGATCAAGAAGGTCCTTCTTTTCTCAGGTTAGAAAATAAAGCTTTTAGAAGAGCCTTACTTATAAAAAGACAAAAACCTGGTTGATTTAGTTACTCGACAGAGTATGAACTCAATCATAACTCTATTTTAAACTTTGGAAATTTAAACAATTAACCAAATAGTTTCTATCAGTTCAACCAGTTTTTGACCACTTGATATGGAAATTTACCTACTAAAGTGTTTTTTTTTTAAAGAATAACTCAGAACACTGCACTGTTTTTCCTTTTTCACCAGATCATATTTTCCACTCATATTAAAGCATAAAAGCTAGAAGCAAAATAGGTAGTTTTATATAACAAAATGTGAAACATAATGACTATGATAGGTATTAAATGACATTTTCATATGTTTAAATTTTTAATACTTACCAAAAAAATCTTAGAACTTCTCTAGTAACTCCTGAGTTGTACATTTTATTTCCTACTTGAAGCTTACAAAGTGGTCTAAAAACCTAAATTCAAAATAAAACTTTACAAAATAATTTTTGAACTGAGAACTAGACCTGATTTACAGAAATCGGACACATTTCACTTTTATCATGATTCTTTTTAGTTTCTTATGAGATTAAGCATGAAACTGTATAATAGTACAATATTCTTAATGTTATAAACTTTTTCTCTACTGTACAGAAATATATCTTATAATTATATATCACTTTACAGTATTTCAAAATACTTCCACATACATTATCTCCTTAGAGATATGAAAGCATAAAATATTAGAAATGTGCTAGACTAAGTGATTTAACATCTATTTGCCATGAAATGCAATTTAATATTTTATCAATAGCCAATGTTTCTATCCTCACAGTCCAAGGTACAATGATAAAGTCTATATATTTGCAAAGATTCAATAATGTTTCTAGCTATTTGGCCATGCTTCACTGCATTTTTTAAAACAACTTCTCAATAAATTTCTGCAAGCATATGGTAGTTTTTTAAAAATACAAAACATCAGAGTCAAACCCAGGGGGTTGGTTTCATATCGAAGACCCACATAAATACATATCTATAGATCTTATTTAAAAAACTATTAATTGTACAAAGTATTCTTTATAGAAAAAAATGCCAAACACTCATAACTTTTATCTGCAAAAGGAATGACATCCCCTTACTTGTTCTTCACTGAAGAATTCTCTCATAAATTATTTGCAGATTAAATGGAGGAATCATTCTATTATATATGAATATGCATTAAAAAATGACATGAAGGGACAAGGCCAATGTTTTAAATGGAAGCCAGGCAATTTTCTTCCTTGAAACTAAATATTCTCAAATTAATTTGCACAATCTAATCAAACCCCTAGTTAGGAATAATATTCTAAGAGTTAAATTGTTGAATGAAATGTTTTTACTTGTAAGGGCTCTGATATACTACAGTTCCTAAGTCATTCAGATTATAACCATTTATTTTAGTCTTTGTCCATTGTTTGTCAATATTTTGATATCTGTCACAAATTTTTAATATTATGCACTTAGAAAGCAGGCTGAACACTTTATCATGTATTAAAAATTGGTAAGATATTTTGAATTAATCATGTTCCTACAATTTGGCTCAATGTGACAAGTACTCTCACCATCTAACCCTGGAAAACTGTTTATTAAACTCTACAGTGGCCGTGCTATAAGCTCCACATTAAGACGGCCCATACAAAAAAAAAGAAAAATTGAAATGCAAAAGCAGAATTGTTTTCCCAAATCTTAATATTCATTTCACAAAACAACAGAAAGCAAAAATTAGGATATTATGGGAACCAAAAATGAGAAAATGGTCTATATTAATTGGAATATGATATACAACTTAGTTACTAACAGTCATACTTAAAAAGTCAAGTTTGAGCAACCGTGGTATTTCATGTAAACTTCAAAGCAATAAAATCATATTTCTAAAGACATACTATTGATATATTTTCTAAAAATACTCTGCTGGAAATCCCCAATCATAAAGGTAACAGAAGATGGTATGATAGGACTCACAAATAGGACATATAAAAATTCTCTGGGGATTAAAGTGAATCTAAAAACCCAAGAGATACACAAAAGCTAGTTCCACTCCAAATGAAAGTTAAACTTTTTTCTATTAATTGCTTTAACTATATTTGTATGTATGCTTTGAAGTTCTCACCACAGTTTCTGATTATTTTCTGATGTGTAATATTAATTACACACCAATTAATATGAGCAAGTAGTACAAGAAATAAAACTACTTGTTCTAACCAATATTAACACATTAAGTGTCTACTAAAACTTAATGTGGATAAGGAATTTGATGAAGGGGATCCCTGGTGGCTCAGCGGTTTAGTGCCTGCCTCTGGCCCAGGGCAATCCTAGAGTCCTGGGATCAAGTCCCACGTCAGGCTCCTGGCATGGAGCCTGCTTCTCCCTCCTCCTGTGTCTCTGCCTCCCTCTCTCTCTCTCTCTCTCTCTCTCTCTCTCTGTGTGTGTGTTTCTCTATGTTTTTATCGTAAATAAAGAAATAAATCTTTAAAAAAAAAGTATTTGATGAGATATGGAATTTCAAATCTATTTCTCAATTTCAAGGTTTGACAACTTAGAGATACATCATATTGTTTTCTTTTTTAAAGATACTCTGGACAAAGCAATATTATTAATTTCATAGCCCAAAGAACACTAAGATAGTCAAGGTTTTTAGAAACCACTGCTTTGCTGCCAGGTAAGAAGCAGGCCATTTAAAAATGAGTAATTTTTTTCCTTATTTTTTAATTCTTTAGTCATTTGCATTCAGAAACAAGCACCAAATTTATATGAGACAGCCATAAAAGCAAAATACTTTCCTTGGACTTTTGCATCGTAATTTGTTTTTAAGCATTTAACACAGAAAAACATTTTCATTACTTTAAAAAAGCAAATTCTTGATATCGTACAGTTGAAGTGCTCTTCTGTTCCATTTAAATTTGAGTACAGATAACTTGAACGTACCCTAGAAATGCACATGCTGGCCGACAAAAATGGCAAATGAGGGAGGACAAGTGCAGAGACAGGGAAAGAGGAAAGGACAGTGGGGCCAAGGAATGGGCTGGGCAATTATAGCTCCCCAAGAACAGAAATTTCACATACCAGAATTCAAAAATAAACATGTTGAGGTGCTGTAATGAAAGAGTCCAAATTACTTTCTTAATACATCTAAAAAGTCCAAATTTGTTTTGCCAGCTCAAGAGATAAATCCATAAATTTGGGCAAAAGTATGGCAAGAGCATGAAATTTATCCTCTTGATTTTCTTCATGTAGACTGTAATCTCCCGAAATAATTTATTTGATATATCAAATACTACATGATTATTTCCAGATATGTTGAAAATAATTGAAAAGCAATTATTATGTACAGAATTTGAACACTCACATCCTAAAAGTGTTATAGAATACATTCATTTATTGGGTCTTATTTGAAACTTCTTCCTAAATATTAAATTCATGGTCATCCACAATAAAAAAACAACAGCAAAACATTTACAACAGAAATCACAAACAGATGGCTAAAATTTGCGACGCGCCCTCTGTTCTTCAGGATGCATTGTACGGTTTCTCCTCCCTTACCTAAGCTGGGTTGTGGGTTCTCTGATAATTCACTGTAATTGTACATCATCATGGGAACCTGTAGTTCCAGGATTTTCACCGTCTTTCTTATGATTTTCACCTTCTTCATCTTTTTCAGTAGGAGTTGCAGTCTCCTTCCTCTCTGTGGGATCAGTGACTGTTTTTTCCAGTTCAGAATTTGAATTTTCGGCATTACCATCCTCGGTGTTTCTTGGCTTGGTAGCTTCACTGCTGGGCTCTGCGCTAAGACTGTCTGTTTCCTCTCCAGGTCCTCCTGGTGCTGCTTTTTTTTCTTCAGCTGTTTTGCTATTTAAATGAACAGCTGAGGAGGAATTTTTGGAGTCCTTGGACTTTTTGTGCATAGAAGTTTGACTGATATGACCAGAGGTGGGAGGGGCGGGCATTTTCTGGGCTTTGCTTCCCTCTGACTGTTCTTTCTTCGGCGGTCCCCAAATAAAATTCTCTGAAGGCGTGTAATGTTTCTGGGCAAAACGTAGGAGCTTTCTCCTCTCTCTCCTGTCTCTAATTGTATAAACAAAGTACTCCAGAGCACTCTGTTTAATATTGGGAATAGTATTTTCCACAAGAGCTTCGTGAAGAATAAATTTTACAAGAGGAGATTTAAAACTTTCATATCCAAGCTCACCGAGGCTTTTAAGAATACGAGTGATTCGTAAATAGTTGTGCTGTGACCTGAAAGAGAGTATTGAATAAAATGTTGCGGGGTGGGGGGGGTGGGTGATCAGGTGAAGGAAAGCAGGGGAATGTGAAGTACTGGAAAAATATTTTTTAATGGAACAACGACTTCACTGAAAGTCATATTAGACACTGTAAGAAGAATAAACTAGAAGTTATGAAAACCTTATACTTCTATGTAATGCCAATCTAGGTGAAATTCAAATATACAATACAAATTCCCTTTGTTCCTTTACTTCTTCATATTTGAAAAATATTTAGATCTAAAATTTATTCCCACTGATGCTGAACTGTTGTTTATTAAGTACATCGAGGATATGGAGCATTTAGTTGCAGCAACACCAACTCTATTGTACCTACCACAGGTAACTAGTACCAAACATAAATGCAACATTAGCTGTCAGCTGAAGGTATGATTTACAGTGTCAGCAAAATCCATAAGGAAAGCAGCACAAAAACCCACTCTACCTTGCTAGCACAATTGTGACAGAGGATGCAAAACTGACTTCTTAGCAGAACATAGGAACATGGGCTTTGGAGTCAGACCTGAGCTCATACCATGGCTCTGCCACCTACAGCTCTGTGAAGTTACAGTATCTCTCTCTGATTCATCTGTAAAATAGGGGAAATGGCCCATATCTTACTGGACTGTTAGAAGAATCAAAAGAGTTGAGATGCATGCAGGGCCTGTAGAACTCAAAACATATTATATACTATTTAAAATTAATATTGTGGGATCCCTGGGTAGCACAGCGGTTTGGCGCCTGCCTTTGGCCCAGGGCGCGATCCTGGAGACCCGGGATCGAATCCCATGTCAGGCTCCCGGTGCATGGAGCCTGCTTCTCCCTCTGCCTGTGTCTCTGCCACTCTCTCTCTCTCTCTGTATGACTATCGTAAATAAATAAATAAATAAAATTTTAAAATTATTATTTAAATTTGCTACTAATTTATGTGTGTATAAATACATATATGTATCTATCCCAACTTAATCACCTAATGTCTTCCATCCATGGCCTCTTTCTCCTTTATCCCCCTGGTCAGAGAATTTTAGAATTTGCTTCTAATGGCATGGATTCCAGAGATACCTTTTTGCCCAAATTGCAGAAACTTCTCTGTCCCCAAACTAATGCTCCCTAAGCTTATCTATCACAATTCACAATATGCCTGCCCTATGTCACTGGGCCAATAGTTGTCTTATTACAAATATATGGCCACATCATATATGGCTGCATCTTTGGCTGCATGTATTAATCATGCATCATCAATAGCCCAGGTATTTATTTATTTACCCCATATTGACACACAACCATAATCATCACTTATTTCTAACTTCCTAAAACCTGCTTTATACACCAGACATTGAACCTTAAACAAGCAATGCATATACCTACTTTGCAGCTAGCAAACTACTTGGGAGAGGTGAAGAAGGATGTTGACTTATCTAAGAGACAGATGGAGATGGTTCCACAGTCTTACATTTTAATAAGAAAGTCTGGACAAAACAAAAACAAACACAAACAAACAAACAAAAACCTTAATGATTCAAGCTAGCCAAACCTTGGAAAAGACAAGTCCAGCAGTTTTCTCATCCCCATTCTTCTGGATTTTACCACAAAAGTATCATCTTAATATTCAACTCTCTGAGGCCAAAGGGTAGAACATAGCAGATATGTTTCAGTCTTATGAATCGGTATTTTTTTTAATAGTTAGGAAGCAAGAGTCTTCTAAGACAACATGAATTTTAATGAGGTTAAGACAATGTGCCATGGGCAGCAGAGTTGACTTAGTGTTAGGTTAGTATGGCATTCCTATTCTCCAAAAACTTAGTGATAAAAGTGTTGAGCAATATCTGTTCCCTAAATCTATGAGAAAGAGATGTATGGAAAAGTGGAGAAATAGTTTTCTTTAAAAATCCCAAAGACAAGTTACATAATCCAACAAAATTTACTACATTGCAACCAGCTCTGTTGCTCATATGCAGTCTTTGAAGAATGGCCAAGATGAAACTTCTGTACACATTTATCTGTTATTTGTACACTCTCCAATGTAAAATATTTAGGTAACAGTAGAAAAGGGCAAAACCTTGGGTTGAATGGAATGAAAATGAGGATTATGGAACAGAAGTATATGAGAAAGGAACTGAATGCTTCCACATGACTTGAAATAAATATGACAAATAAAGACAAAATGGAAAAGAAGAGAGCAGCTAAAACCTTCCTAATTTTGTGAGGAGTCTTTGGGGTTGCACAGCAGATAAAAGAGAGAAGCTGGGCTTCCTGACAGCAGTAAGGGCAGTAAACAGGACTGCAAGTGTCAGGAAGACTAGGTAGGTGAAGAAAGAACACACAAAAGGCAAGAACCAGAAGGTGAAAATAAAAGTGAGAAGAAATTTCAGAGTCTTAAAATATGGCTCTGTAATCTAAGGTGATTACAAATAAAATTTGAAATACATCTGAGCAGTTGGTCTATAATTTGTACTCCTGTGTTTGAAAATATTTCACTTCTTTTAGTCACGGTCATTTGTTCACTGAACGTTACTTCATTTCACTTTCATTCAATACTTTTTTGTCTGCTGGGCTACTATAAATATATTGAGTTTCCTGCCTACTCTAAGAAACTCAAGATGTCACACAGATTAAACACAAATAAAAGCTCTGTGTAATACCCAGCAAAAGGAAAATGAGAGACAGTGGGTGGTGGAAAGAAAAGGATTTGAATTGGGTACAGGGAATGTCATGGTTAATTCAGACTCCCTTCCCGTGACCCAAGCCAGGAGATCATTTTAATTAAAACCTTCGGAAGGGTTCTTTTTCCAACTATCAGTTAGAGGATCTGAAAATAAAATTGCAAAGAGGTTTTAACATGGCAAACGTATTTGTTCATTGTTTATTCACTCAACAGACATTTACTAAACGAGACTGCTGTTCCAACCAGAAACAAGATGGGGACGAAGACTCTCTAAAATGATAGTTAGGTTGCCATCCTTCATGTCACGAAGCTGCTTGCATACAGCTTTCATTGACAGTATGACAGAAGTGCTTAGAAACTCTGTCCAGAGACAGCTACCCACACTGCTGAGGCAGAAATATACATATGCTTCTGCTGTTAAGTGCCCTATACAAATCAAATTTAACTTGAGTTATGAGTTAATGGGTTTTCTAGTCAAGATCATAAAACTTTATGGCCATATCTTCAGTGTTTTAGTACAAGCTACCATTTTAATAGTGTTGCCCATGACTAAAATAAAGTAAAAAGAAGGCTTAAACATTAATACTCATTTTAGCAAAACAAGATGAAAGTTCTAGAAAAACACCCAAAAATTCAGTTAATTGATGCTCAAAATTCTGGTGGGCAAAGAAAAATTTCTTAGGTTATTTTTTATTTCTTAGTATTTGTCCAGTTCAGCTAATTACAATGAGCTAAAAAAAAAAATGCTTTAAAGCTACTGGTTTTATGGTCCAGCATTCATAAGTCACCCTAACATTAAAAAGAAAGAAATTCAGTTTGCATGCAAAGAAAATAATCTTAAAAAGCAAACTTTGGGTGTAGGTATTAAGTTATAAATATCTAGGCAAAAAAGTACAGTAAATCATTTCCAAATAAACTCTTAAAATTTTCTTCACAGGTTTTAGGATTTAGTAAGCAAAAATGGGCTTTTGTTCTTTACCTAAATAATGAAGATTCTAATTTTCCTTCTTTTTCTTTAGAAATGTACAAGCACATCTGAGTCTTATAAAATGATATTTATATGTCATAGGCTTAATTTATGTATTTAATCTAAGAAAGTACCATACTCGATGAACAGACTACGCCACAAGAAGCTTACAGTCCAGCAGAGGTGACTTGGGAAACTATACCCAAGAAATAAAGTACAAATGCCAAGAACCGTGGTATAAAGAGTGAGGGTAGAGAGGTTGATCAGTATAGAGGTTTCAAGAAGAATGAGCTCTAAAGCAGAATGGCCTTATTCCTACCTGCAATTTCATCCTTTTTTGTGGTTTTATTGTGCTTTAGAATATAGAACAAGGAATAAATTGCACTTCAGACCAGCTTTTGAATTCAAATTCCCGGGTCCATCTGCTAGTTGCTCCTATATTCCATAGAGAATTTCAACCAAGAAAAGATAACATGCTGGCCCCTGATGCATTGGGGGGTGAGGGTCGGGGAGGGCTTTACTTACTCATTCAGATGCTGAAACCTTTCCTGCCAGTTAACAGCCCGGGCAACATTTCCAGTTTTATCAACCAGTTTTATTCCAAAAAATTCTAACATCATCTTATAGGCCAGGAGGAATCTTTTAATTGCTTCTTTTGTTTTTTTGAATTCCTAAGGGAAGAAGAAAAGTCAGCTGAAATGATTCAGTAGTTACCAGCACAATAAAATAGCAATATTATTTGGTCATCCCCCACAAAATGAAATGAGCTTGTATTACCTCAATTTCATATGTGGTTAATTCTTTAGCATAAAAGTTCAAGCCTTGTTCTCTCAGGGGGAAAAGCCTGTTTTTTTAGAAAAATAATATTATTATATTAATGTTATCTGGAAAACATACATGATTACATAGGACATAGTTTGAGATACATAAATGTAACTGACCATTGAATGTAAGTATGGTTGTGCTCCAGCTTTTCATAATCTCCTTTCCACTTATTTAGAACTTCTTCAATGTAAACACCTAGGTAGTAAATATTTAGAAAATGAGTCAGACATTTAAGACATCATTGGAGGCATGTTAACATTCAACCACTTAGTCTTTAAATTTAATAATAGCACACAAAAATAATGCCAAGAATACCCTATGCCATTTGCTCAGTTATGTAATAAGCCTGATTTTTCAAAAATCAGTGGCACCTCAGTGGCACTGGTAGAAAGTTCTACCAGTGTTACTCTAAAGCAGAAGCTGACAAACTATGGCCTGCCATTTGTTTTATACATAAAGTTTTATTGGAACAAAGCCATGCACATTCATTTATTATTTTACACTACCACAGTAGAGTTGAGTAGTTGCAACAGAGACTACATGGCCTACACAGCTGACTACATTTACACTCTGGCCCTGGACAGAAAAAGTTTGCCAACCCCTGCCCTAGATGGTCATAAGTTCTTTAAATAAAGATGGGATCAAAATGAAATGTAGCCCAGGGAAAAAGGAAGTAATAAAAGAAAGGTGAGGGAAGAGCAAGGGAGGGAGAGAAGTGTGGAAAAGGAGAAGGAAAGGGAGAGAGGAAAGATGGAAGAGAAAGGACCCATATTACACACAGTATACATCATCCAGCTTAATCTTCACAGAGTTCTCCCCAGCCGGTGCCACCATTCCCATTTTAATAATGAGGACATTGAGCAATTCATTTGAAGTCACACACTAACAAAAGAATAAACTTACGAGTAGAACACAGGTTTTTCTGGTTCCTAAAAACAAGCCCTCTTCACCACATCCTACTGTTTCCCCATAAGAACTTACTTCAGTTAACCTTTGAACAGGAGTTCGAACTTTTTTGTAAGACTACAAGTATATAATGCATGTCACATACAAAGCATGTGTTAATCAACTATTTCTATGCCACTGGTAAGGCTTCCAGTCAACAGGAGGCTATTAGCAGTCAAGTTTTGGAGAAGTCAAAAGTTACACACAGATTTCTGACTGTACAAGGTTTAGCCTCCATAAACCCTACACTGTTTGAGGGCCAACTGTAGAACAAAACCCTCCTGCTTCTCTTATTCTCTCTAGGTCCCCACAATTGACTGTGTGACCATTTAGTCAATTTTATAGAAAAAACCACGACGCCATATTTCTCTAAGAATAGCTCATCTCATTTTTATTTTCTCCATGGATCACCAGTTTGTAGCAGAGGTCTACTCTTGGAAGGCTGAGTAAAAAGTTGTTTTTGAATCAAACTCTTGGCTTTATCAGCATTTTAAAACCATTTACCTCCATAATTTCCCTTCCAACTACCCCTCCTACTGCTTAATAATTAAAATACATCATTGCAGGCTTATGCTTACTGGCAAGTGTATGGGTGTGTATGGGGGGGAGGGTATATGCGTATGTGTACACATGCTGGGAGGAAGTTGTGTGAGTTAATGTAATTTATATAATAAACTAGAATAACATTTTATGTGACCTTAGATACAACTCCTGACCCCTACAAAGCCTGTAAGATTTAAAATAAATTTTATTTTAAAGATTACAAAAAATGCACTCCTTGAAGTTATTACTTTAAGTTGCTACCTGAAAAATAAATTCACTACTAAAAATACAAAAATAAGTCAATTAAATATTGTAATGTCAATTTTTTTTATATTTGAAGGCATTCCTTTAGGTACATTTTATTAAATTCAAATCAGAGTCAAATTAACTATCTATCATTGCATTTCTTCAAAAGGTTTTCTTGTCCCAGGTCCTAAAAAAACTAAGAATTTATTTAATATTACTTCAATTAGTAAATAAAGCAGTTTGTTTCTATCATTAGTAAATGTAACAGAGCATTTTTATCCACAGGTTTCCTCCTAAATCAGGGCAGGCTTTTGGGACACCAGAAAATTAATTAAAGACAAGTGGATCTGGCCATTGCAAAAGTGTTGTTAAGTCCTAACTCCCAACTGGTATACCTCTCAGTACACAGTATAGGAATCCTCCTCCCCACACTCCACCCAGCCTTCAGAGAGCCTTCTTTCAGTTAGTTCACTAGAAAATGTAGTCCTGCTACTTGGAAAGCTTTGTCATGTATAATCCTCATTCCCTGACTCACACGACTGTGGATTTGGCTTCGTTTCCACTAAGAGCAAAGAGCAGAAGCCAGGGCCATCTGGTCACCTCACAGAGATAAGGGTGAGAAGGAGAGAAGCCAACTTGGCTGCTTTGACCTGGATAAAATTAGGATGCCCATCATGAACCATAGCATGGTGCCTTGGTGAAATATGCATATTCCCACAGTGGATGTACCCTCTCCCTATAGGGGGAGAAATTCAGAAAAGATCCTATGAGGGCAACTGTAAAGTTGTGAAGGAGGAGGCACTTTATTTGGCAGAGCTGAATGGATATCTACTGTCTGTGCAGTTCCCTTTCTAGGACATCGGAACACTGAACTGGTACTGTTGGATCTCCCTGACCCCTGATACCCAGAATCAACAGGAAAGATAATTCTTTTTTTTTTTTTTTTAAGATTTTATTTATTTATTCATGAGAGACACAGAGAGAGGCAGAGACACAGACAGAGGAAGAAGCGGGCTTCTTGCAGGGAGCCCGATGTGAGACTCGATCCCTGGACTGGGATCACGCCCTGAGCTGAAGGCAGACACTCCACTGCTGAACTACCCAGGTGCCCAGGGAAAGATAATTCTAATATAAACACTACTTTTAAGTTATGTTCTAAATATTTTGGGGGTGTGGTGTGGTGAAAAGAATACTGAACTCTGGATGCTAGACCCAACTCTACAATTGAATGTCCAGATAACTCATTCAGGCTTTAAGACCCAGTGACTTCATCTTTAAAATTAGGAAGATTAATTTGATCTCCTCTAACGTTTCTTAATAATCTAATATTCTATGATTATATACATTTATAAATCTCATCTCTTTGCCTCTCACAAAAGTAGCCCCCACTATCTTTAAGATAATAGCCACCGCGAACAAGTGGTGGGAAGGTATTGCTAATTCACAGTTATTCCTCCAGAACTGGCCAAGTGGATGTTCAGAACTCTAAGGTCTAGGAGTTTGGGGACACATTTAGACTACTGGCACCGTAAAGCCAGTCAATGAACAAATGCATTAAGAATGTACTAACTGCAGATTAAACAAAGAATAACTAGGTGTATGGGACACCTGGGTGGCTCAGTGGTTGAGTACCTGCCCCTGGCTCAGGGCATGATCCACGGTCTCAGGATCAAGTCCCACATTGGGCTCCCTGCCTGGAGCCTGCTTCTCCCTCTGTCTACGTCTCTGCCTTTCTCTCTCTGTGTCTTTCATGAATAAATAAATAAAATCTTAAAAAAAAAAGAATAACTAGGTGTATGTTATTAGTTAAAGTTTGTTTTTTATCAAGGTAGCAGATTACTCACCATCTGGCTTAAATGGAATTTTATTCTTATAAAAACGAAGATTGCTCAAGTCATTTTGATATCGGATATCTTTGAAGTTCTGCTAAAGGAAAAAAATAAATCAATCTCCAGCATATGGACATATAAAAAAGGCACAAGGACCTTCTTCCATATTTGCTCACTAGCAACACAAAATAAGAAAAACAGAAGGGAAATATTTTACATTTTAGAAAAAAACATTCTACACTCTTACTGGGTACTGATGTCGGTATTTGTACAGATCCCTTGCAGCATAAAAGCTTCTCTTTGGTTTGGCAGTTGCTTCAGTGGAATCACCACCCTAAAATAAAAGGGAAATTCCATTTACATGGTGATGCAATATAATGTCACTGAGAAATTTCTAGAACACTCAAATAAATATCAAGCTGTTCAGAATAATGACAATATTAGGAATTCTCTTTTAATGATGCTTACTAGCAACATTTGTTAGTATTCTATTTGCCTGATTTGAGCCCAGTAACATTTGTTCTAAGGTGTTTTAATAAATAAAAAAACTTTATTACTCACCAAAAGCCTACAGAGGCCAAATGTTCTAGATCACTATTCATCAGAAATAGAACTCAAAATAAATTTAAGACATTTACTTTACCAGAGGTCTCAAGTAATTCTATGATAAAATTTTAGAATATATAATACTGAAAAAACTGCTAAGATAATAAATCAGTTCTACAAAGAAAACTGTTACTAATTTTGCAACATTTAGTTGTACAGTGGAAGGAAAATGAAACTTATGGAATGAAAACGGAATTTTTAAAGCAAACTAAATAGCTTCTAAACTCCATCCCTGATAGCACCGTAACGAGTACACAAAGGCATCAATGTTCCATTAACCTGGTGATAATACAAGGTGACATAAATCAGCACATTTAAAATATATATACACAAAGTAGTAAAAGCTCTCAAATGGAATGAACTTCAGATTGTAGTAACTTATATGTGGTAGTTTATTCATACTATTTAAATTCTAAAAATTCTCACTACCATGAATAATTTTAAAAATGCAAGACAGATCAATGTAATCAGTTTAAATTCTCTAGCTATATGTACTATTATAATGTATAAGGAAGTGCTTTGTGTCCTGCATCATGCAGAAGGACAATAAGACAGATGACAATGATGAGATAGAAGACAAGGTTTAGGTATGAATATTCATTAAGAGCTTCACCCATCCCCACCCACCCCCCCATCCCTTTCTCATCATACTCCACCCCCATCTGTGTTGAGAGATTAGCATCCTCCAAGCAATTTTCACACATTTTTGAAGTGGTGTGATTCTCACTATTACTACAAGTATAGAGATACTTACTTTAACACCAAATTCTCTGATGTTTAACATTAGCTACTCTGTCATGTTACATAAGCAAGGCAAAGCTTAAATTCTGGTCCTTGCCACACGTTTCAAAATAGCTCTGCCTAGCAAGTTTCTGAATCTATTTAGCCTGAGCTACAACCATATGAATCATCATCCTACATTTGTATAGAAAGCACTTTTCCATTTACAAAGCACTTACATGTATATTATTTCATTTGATTTTTATGACACACCTGGATGGCAGTTATTAGCGTTCCCATCTTAGAAACACGGTAACCCAGCCTTAGAGAAGTTGAACAAGGCCCAGAGTTCAGTGACAAGACAGGAATTGCAATCCCAGGCCCGGGGCTGCAAGTCCAACTAACTAGGCATGAATCATTTCAGCTCCACTACAAGTGAAGGAGCACTATAGGAACCTTGGTAAAATGTCAACAGCCCAAGACTTGGGCTGTCTTGACTCTGCTACTTATTTGTGAGGCAACCACTTAACTGAATCTAAGTTTTATCATCTGTGAGACAAAGATAATGACTCATGCCCTACCTATTTCCCAGGATTATCATGAGAATGACTGCATCCTCCAACCTCTAAATGTACCAACCTGCAAACACATGACCTTGTTCCTCCAACTTCTGCTCCTTTCGGATTCACTATCCTGTCCCTTTTCATCTGCTCAGCCAAGGATTTTGTTTCTTAATATATTGTTCCCATTTCCTGCATCATCAAAATTTGTCTCTTCTGGATCATTCCCCTCAGCAAACATGCTGTAGTATCTCTTATCGTAAAATAAACACACACAACCTTCCTTGACCCAAATCCCCCCTCAAATACAGATCCATAGCTCTGTTCCCTATTATAGTAAAATATCATCACTGAATCGTGCATACCTCCTTGTCTCTCCTCTTCTCCCAAGACCCACCACAATCAGGCTTTCATTCTCAGCCTTCCACCTAAACAGCTCTTTCGATGTCACTAACAAATCTCCATTTTTGCCAAACCATGTCTCAGTGCTCAACTCACACAACTTCCCAGCAGCACTGGGCCAGTTAAATGTCTCTTCCTGAAACACTCTCAGATGCCACAGCTCTCCTGGTTTCTTCCTATCTCATTGGACGCCCCTTGTCAGCCTTCTCTTTGGGTCCTCTTCCTATGTTCTATATTGAGGAGCGCCGAGGGTTCGGTTCTTACTCCTCATCACTCCTCAAGGACCAAGTACCTCCTAGTACATTATATACCACCATTCTTAAAAGCTGATGACTACAGTTCTGGACTAAGGCTCCATTCATAGATATCTTAAGAATTCCACTTAGATGTCCAATAGGACATAAAATTCAAGAGAATTCTTGATTTAACCCCTGACGATGCTTTTTCCCTAGACTCACCCATCTTACTTAACGGCACCATCATTTGCCAAATATTCACTTGGACTAGGAATGAAGGCAATGAAGGAGGTGAGAAGTAGTCAGACTGGGATGTATTCTAAAGGTAGCCCCAGCAGTACTTGCAAGTGACTATGGGGAGAGGCAACAAATGGAGTTGATAGTCAAAAAACGACATTAAAAATATTTTTTAAGAAGTTAAATGGTGACACTAACAAGGAAAATTAATCATTGAAAGGGAAAAGGGAGAGCCGTTGTGGTCTACCATTTTCTGGGGTCACCATTAACTGACTGAAACCTTGATTATCAAACTGTTTTAAACAGATGGACCTAGTTAGCTGAATTGAACCTAAGCTGGTGTTTGGTTTGTTTTGTTTTGTTTTTTTGATATCCCAAAAGAGCAGGTTACTTAATTGGGAGACAAGAGAAAGGAAAAAAAACAAAAACAAAACTGGAATACAGCCTCTAATACTTTTGGGGAGAGGGGTTAAATTCACAATGCAAAATGACCCATCAACAAACCGGAACACAAGGGGCAGAGAGAGAATCACAATTCCAACAGGTTAAACGTTCTACCTACACTGGCTGCAGACATACTCGGGGTTGCATCATTCTCTCCCTGGATGTTCTTGGGCAAGATTCTCCTACTGGGTCAGCCTGTTTCCTCCAAAATGGGGATTAAAAACAGCAACTCCCACCCAACTCCTGAAACTTCAGGTGATTGAAATAATATGTTTAGCACGGAGCCTGCGCTGGGGCTTTGCTTTCTCCTGACCTAGAGAGACAATTGTCCACATTTATGAGGCAGCCTCAGCTGTAATACTAAAGTGGCAGTTCCTCTACTCCCGCCAAGCACCCTGTGGTCGTGCTGACTTTGGGCTCCATCCCCCCCCCCCACACACACACACTCCCATTCCTCCACAGCTGATAAAGAGGAGGAGGGCCTAATGTAGAACCACAAACCTTAAACACCCCCAGGATAAGCCCTTCTCTAGAAGCCTGGCTATGCAGTTCCTCCTCCTTTTTTAAAGTTGTCTGACTTACTTTCAGGCCGTCAGAGGTTAAAGGAGTGTATTTATCTCTTTACTAACCTCTCCTCCAAACTGCATGAGGCGAATGACTTAGGCACAGTTGGAGCAACAAGTCTCAGGGCGATGCTCGAGTTTGGAAGAGCGCCCCAGCTGCTCAGCTGAGAGGCCTTGCCCGGGGCGGGGGCCGCGGCGCTCTACCTCGGGGCGGGCCCTTCCGCAGCACTTTAAGCGGCTGCAGACCCGAGCTGTGGGGGAGCGCGCTCGCTGCGCCTGGTTGCGGTCCCTCCTCGCTCCGGGCCATTCCTACCGACAACACGCACGGGACCGGTGCTCACCAGCCTCTATTTCCGGGCGGGGTCCCCCCGCCCCGCCTTCGCAGCCCCCAGCTGCGCTGCACAGGCAAAGAAAACACCCCTTCAAGTTGGGCGCCGCCGCCGGGAGGGGCTTCCCCGGCGCGCGGGCGCTCAGGCCCCAGGCCGGCAGCGCGGCCCCGACGCTCTCGGCCGCCGCAGGCCCCCGAGTCCGCGGGAAGGCGGGACGGCCTCGGAGGACCCGCAGCCGCCGGCGCGCCCGCCCGCCGCTTCCCCCTGCCGCGAGCCGGGGTCGCTCGGCGTCTGCTCCCGTCCGCGGCGACGTCCTCCCTCCAGCGGCAGCGGCGCCCCGGCCCGGCCCGAGCCCCCCCACCCCGCGGGGCCGCGTACCTGCTCGGCGCCCGCCGCCTCGGCGTGTCCGTCCGGCGCGGGGCTGGCGCGGGGCCGCCCGCCGCCTCGCTCCGGGGGCTGCGCAGGCTGCTCGGGCTCCTGCCCCGGGCCCTCGCCGCCGCCGCCGCCGCCGCCGGGCCCCGGCTCCTCGGGCGCGGGCTCGGGCTCGGGCTCGGGCTCCGAGTCCGTCTGCCAGGTGGAGTCGCAGTCCTCCACGGTGGTGGGCTCGCGGAAGCTGACCCCGCCGAGCAGGTTGCCCATTGAAGAGGCGGCGGCGGGCGCGAGCCTGCAGGGCTGCAGGGGTGCGGGGTGCGGGGCGCGGGACGGGGCGCCGGGCGCGGGCTGCGGCAGGCGCGCTAGGGCCCGGGCATGGCCGCGGCGAGGGCGCTGGGCGGCAGCCTCGGCCCGCCCGCCCGCCGCCGCACTGCCTCAGCGCGGCGAGCGGCAGACAGGCACCCTCGCGGGGAGGAGCCCGCGGCCCGGGACCGCCGCCGCCGCCGCCGCCGCCGCCGCCGCCGCCGCCGCCGCCGCCTGAACCCGCCCATCTGGCTCCTTCTCCCCCCGCCCCCGGGGCCCCGGGGAGCGAACCGCCGCCGCCCCCCGCCCCCCGGCCCGTGCGCTGCGGGCCCCGGCCCCGGGGCGCCCCCCCCCGCCCCCTTTCCGCCCCGGAAGGCCTGCCTCGGCGGGGCCTCGCACGCCTCCTGGGGGACGAGGGGCGGTGCTGCCCGCCCGCCCCCCTTCACCCCTACCCCGGGGCAGGACGGCCGGCTTGGGGCTCCTCCCAGCTGAGCGGCGAGCGCGGTCCCGCCGGGCTCGGGCTCGGGAGCCGCTGGCCCGGCGGACAGATGTCGAGGCGGTGTCACCGTCTTCAGGCAAGCCCTGTCCACATCTCCGCCTCTTCTCCCGGCTGGTCCGGGAGAAAGATGAATCAGCCACAACAGAAGACGACAAAAGCTAATGATGACAGGGCACCACATAAACGGAAAATCCAAGCCACCACGACTCTATGCATTTAGGGCAGCCACCTAGAGTCCCTATGGACTGCGGACAGTCAAGGCTATCTGTCCCCGCATCTAAGGAGCAAACCTCTCTTGAAACAAAAAGAGCAAGACCAGCTAGACTTCCCCCATCGATCTGCGGATTGTTTTACTACCACCCGTTCCAAATCCATGCTCTGGGTAGAATAAAACCTCAGAATGGTAGGCCACTCTCTTGGTCTGCTGTGTAAATGAAAGGAAGAGGGAAACCGTGTTGTAGGAATACGTACAGATAAAATTGCATGACCACATAAGTGGCCCTGAGCAAAGTGGCTACTGTAAACTGTGTGTTATGGCTTTGTGTTAGAACTGCAAGGAAAGCCTCTTGAGGGCAATCATGTCTGTGTAAATGCCAGAACTTGGTAGGTAGGTACTCAGTAAACATTTGTTGCATGTGAACTGAGAAAGTAAGTTAGATATATAAGATTATGTCTTATAAATTGATGTGCCTTGAAATATATAGTTTCTGATTAAATATTGCGTTATAAAATAGGAGACTGAATCAAGGCCAACGGTCTGTAACTAGGGGGAAAAGTCAGGTGAACAGGGTGCTCATTCTCCAGATAAATCAAGACTGCCTCTCCTCGAGCATGCTTCAGGAGATCCCAGCTGTGGCTTTGTCTTTAATCAGCATCTGATGACCTTGGACAGGTCAAATAGCTACTTTAGACCTAAATTTCATCTATAGAATTCAACCAGATTTTATCTCTGGGGTCCCTTGCAGCTCTGACCTTCTGTGGTCCGTGACTGGAAAAGCTCTAAAACTAATAAGTAAGAGACACCAGACCTGCAAAGAGACTTTTTTTTTTTTAATCATAATGGTTCAGTGAAGAAAAAATGGAGCAGCAGTAGAACACATGAAACCAACTGCTCATATCTGGGGATTTGGATTCATCTTCCATTGGCAGAGAACCAGAACACATTGCAGAAGTAAATGCTGTCCGTCCAACCGTAAGCATTCCAGACAGAGGGAGTCTAAGGATAGTTGCTATACCCAGGTGTTCCATCAGTCGGTCTAGTAGTATGTAAAGTTGGCCTTGTATTCTTTGCTTTCTTTCCATCAAGAGACAGAGTCTAATTTCTAACCCCTTAAATTGGGGCTCAACTCAGTGGCTTGCTTTGGAAACTAGAATATGGAGGATTTTCAAAAATAGAATATCTTGGATTTCAAGGTTAAGCTATAATGAAACTTGAGTCTTCTACTGAGCTGTCTTGGAACATACTTTCTGGTAGCCCTGAGCTGCCATATAAGAAGCTTAACTATTATGAGACTGCCATGCTGGAAAGGCCACTGTGTATGTCTTCAGGTCACCAGTCCCAGCCTTGCAGCATCCCCTGCTGAATTCTGCTGACTTTTATTAAAGCTTCCAGACCAGACCATTCACCAACTGAAACCTCTCAATGACCTCCATTGATGCCATGTGGAACAGAGGAAGCATTCAGCAGAGCCCTGCTCAAATCCCTGACCCTCAAAGTAGTGAAATATAATAAAATGACTGATGTTTAAGTCATTAAATTTTGCAGTAGTTTGTTATGCAGCGGTAGATGATGGCACCGTGAAAAGTATCTGCCTATATATATATAACTTACAATTAAACCCTTACTTTTCCACTACCTTTTGGCAAATATATCAATTTTTAATAGGGCTATAGATTTTGTACCAAGCTGTGCAATAGATTTTCTAAACATAATTTTACGTGAGGTATTATAAAACCTTAAGTAATAATTTTGGAAGTTCACTGCAGTTATTCATCATGTTGTGTCCAATCTATGTACTTAAAAAAATTCTGGAGATCTCTCATCTCTTGGTTCTGTACATAGGAATTACCTTACCCAAAAACCTAAACTTTTTCATCATCCTAATTCTTGAGAATAGTTAACACTCTTGCACTGATAGTAAAGAAGTATGTCTTTGCTTCATGCAAAAAATTCAACACTAAGTCAGTGCCAGGAAGATCTCAATTTATCAATACATGCTAGCCCTAATAACTATTTATCTGATATATCTACAAAGAGGACTGAATTTAACAATATAAATAATATTTAATAATATAAAAATATGTGGAACAAAGAGAAACTACTATGGCAATGCCTATTATAAAGTATAACCTCTAGGGCGCCTGGGTGGCTCAGTCGGTTAATCGTATGTCTTTGGCTCAGGTCATGATCCCAGGATAGGTGTAGGGGCTCCCTGCTCAGCGGGAAGCCTGCTTCTCCATCTGCCCCTCCCCCTGGCTTGTACTCTCTCTCTTGCTCACTTTCTCTCTCCCTCTCAAATAAATAAATAAAATCCAGAATCTACACTAAGCTATACAGATACCATAGCCATGTTTCAGTGTACCAGTCTTCAAACTCATCATGGTTTCAGCCATGTCCTTGAATGGTGAGACCTTTGTAAGGAGGAACTGGTGCTTTTGGAACAAAACTTTTTGAAACAGAACGAACCCACAACACATGTGATATATCTTAAAGTGTTTTTTATAGTGAATTGTGTTTGGGGGATGTTAAGAAAAAAGATTTATTGTTATATAATTTCCTTTGAGAGCCTTTCAAATAAAAGGAAAGAGTAGATCACAGACCATTTTATCCAACCTTAGGAATTAACTTCTCAGTAGTTCCCAGGAACATAAGACCTTTGGAGAAAAAAGAAATAGTATTATAAAAAAAAAATTACCCCCTTTTATCAAAGCAATTCCATTTCCATTATTTTTGATAGGAGTGTTTGTTGTTTTTACTACTTTGTAGTAAAGTCAAAGTATAAGGAGTAAATAACCGACATCCTCAACAGACTTGAGAAGTTGGAGCCATCCTGGCTACGTATGTCAAGTGTCTTCTGTGGCCTTTTTCAGACCACTGGAGTATTGGTTGATCCCCTGAAGCAATAATGTATTGTATTTCATGGAGTCTAGGAAATAATCAACTCTAAGACACATCCTATTTCAGAGACATTTAAATGTGAAAACATGGAAAATGGTGATTTGCTAAGAGAGAAGTTTAACGTTTTTAAAGGACTAATTTATTCCTAAGAAATTGTTTACACTTCAAAGACCAGCCCTAGATTCATTTCCAATACTGAGTATTTTCACAGCCTAGAGTCCTTTGTACTAATCACACCACATTAAACTTATTAATAAAGAAAAGGAAAAGTTCACAGAATTTAAGTATTGAATTAGTATATAATAAGATATCAGTGGAGATAAGTTGAAATTAATATAAGAAATTGCTTATATACCATCATTTGTATAACTAAGCAAATAAACTCAGCCCACAGACTAAAAATAGAACCATGTTTAAATTGAAAACAAATAATAACCTTTGTTCGATAACATTTGTTTGGAGTCTTTACTTGCATAATTCAGCAGCGTTTAGATCCATATTTGGGGGCTTGTATTCACTTGAAGATGCTATACTGAAGAGAAACTGAAATATCTTCTCTAGCCACACTTAAGTAATACAAAACATTCAAATTTTCAAAAGAAAATTAGTATAAACACTATGTGATACAGGAATTTTTACCTTAATCAAAAAAAGAAATTTTACCTATTACCTCCAAAGTTATTGTTTCTTTTCCATGAATGTAAATAGATATGTATCTCCCAGTCCCTTTTTTCCAATTACTATTAAATATTTGTTACTATTTTTACATAATTTGCATTCTTGGCCCTTTAAATTAACTGAATATGAGATGGATATGTAAACACATTATGGACTTTCCGCCAGCTCATGGGGTACTTGTTATTAAATCTGTAGCCAAGGAATATGTGATTCTCATGGGTTCCTCCAGGCTTCCTCAGAGTTTCTGCCCTTCTCTTCTACAGTTACTTTTCATCTTGTGAAAAGACTCCCAGAGGCAGGGTGTAGGATGGATCTCCTCCAGGCTACTCAGGGCACAAGTGCCCCTAAGAGGACACATCAAAACCAGTAGACATGCTGTCACTGAACCCTGGGATGCTGAGAGACCCAAAGGCAAGCATTCGGCACTTTATTCCAGAACTTGATGGCAGCCTCAATATGCCAGAGGAACCAAGTCATACTCCTGCCCAAAGACAAGTATAGGCTACTTAATCCCTAACCAACCCCGGACACTAGTCTGGCCTTCTATGAGATTGGCAAACTGTTGGGAGCCAGGAGTGGGGTGTTAAAGAATAATTCTTTTTTTTTAAAGATTTTATTTATTTATTCATGAGAGACACACACACAGAGAGAGGCAGAGACACGGCAGAGGGAGAAGCAGGCTCCATGCAGGGAGCCTGACATGGGACTCGATCCCGGGTCTCCAGGATCACACCCTGGGCTGAAGGTGGCACTAAACCGTTGAGCCATCAGGGTTCCCAAGAATAATTTTTCATAGATGTCAGCAACTCCATCAGGAAAACACTGAGGCATGTTGTATGTGGCAAGAGGAGGTACAATCCATCCAGATGGCCATCTCTTCTAAGAGAAGCACCATCC